TATATATATATATATATATATATATATGAGTATGCTAACGCATGTATGTTTTTCAGTTAGTACATTTTAGCAATGTATACCAGATTTTAGTAGACAAAAATACCTTTAAGGTTAAGGGTAAAAAAGAAACTCCAAATCCTTACTCAGCTCCTTCATTCCTCTCAACCTTTTCTCTTTCATCTCTCTTTCTCCAACATTTTTTCTGTCATAGCCCAACTGAAAAAAATCAGAAACATTGACAGTTAAACAATCTTACAAAAAATGATTTTATAATGAGTTTTCATTTTATAATTTTTGTCTCATCTAATTTTATTCAATTTTCATGAGCATAAAAGAATTGGTAATTGACCTAGAAAAACATAAAAAAATACTCGTTGTTAAACAATTTCTTACAAAAAAAATGATTTTATAATGAGTTTTCATTTTATAACTTTTGTCTTATCTAATTTTTACAAGCATGATGACATCAAAAGAATTGGTAATTTACCTGAAAAAAAAAAATCAGAAACACTTGTTAAACAATTTCTTACAAAAAAATGATTTTATAATGAGTTTTTATTTTATAATTTTTGTCCTATATAATTTTATCTAATTTTCAGAAGCATAATGACATCCGAAGGAATTGGTAATTGGCCTGGAGAGTTCTTTTTAGAGATGATGATTCAGATCTTGAATGAACCTTTGTCTAAAGGTGAATATGTCAATGACTTAACTCTTTACAAAGGCAAATTGTTTAACGTCAAGTGTTTATGATTTTTTCAACTGGGGCTACATTAGACATGAATGAGAAAAGGTTGGAGTGAGAGAAATGAAAGAGAAAGGGTTGAGAGGAATGAAGGAGGTGAGGGTTTGGGTTTTTTTAGTTTTAAGAATGAAAATTATTAAAATACCCTTAACCTTAAAAGTTAGGACCCGTGATATAAGGGTATTTTTGTCTACTAAAACCCAGTACACATTACTAAAATGTACCAGCTGAAAAAACTTACGCACATTAGCAAATCCATATATATATATATATTTATCATCGTTGCCTTTATACTTGTTCAGCATTAAATTTTACGTGATGATTTTAATTTCTACTTTAACTGAAATTGCTTCAACTATCTACCATGGTTGATATGTTTCGTGTCTTTGGAAGTGGACGATCCGTTTTCAGAGCGTTTCAAATAGTTTATGTCAAACTAAGACAATTGAAAAAGAAAAGTCATATTCATTTTATATGTAATAAAATTACTAACGAATAAGTTTATCACTTATTTTGAACAAATTAATTGATGTGAATACCTTATAAACTAAATTGATTGGATCAAATGTAACTTTCCAAAGAATAGAATCAACATAGTAGAAGTAAATGTACTGTACAGAGTTAATGCCACTAACCCCAGACGTTGTTAATGTCATAGTCTATAAAATTTCATTGTACATTCCATTCTTTCTTAAACGAACACCATTAAAAGTTCTAGTCCTCGCACAATCCAGTGTATCTCTTGTGCCAACTTTTGTATCAATTCTGCACACATAGTTAAGACCAACAAGAAGATCAACTATTGCAGCCTCGGTTCTTGCTTGGTTTGCAAAGTAAAGAGTTTGAACAAGTAAAACATTTGCGCTAAAATTTGAGTTCTCCTTCTCAAAATTTCTCACAGAATGCCAGTTTATCATGTTATGTGCCAGTGGGGCCAACCATTCCAACATCTGTGCAAGTAGCAGACTCCATTCTGCAGCAAGGTTTGCATCATGATGATTGGAAGAAGATTTACTTTTAAGCTTAGCCCTTAGAGCAGTTCTTACAGTAGTTGGAAGCATACTGTATAGATCATCTCTTGTGGCAAGATCAACCAGGTGCGGTGATGTCACCATCCTCTCAATCAATACAATCATGTTGGCATAATGCAGGGCAAGAGCTGCATCACCAAGGGATTTGGAAGCAGGCTTTAACAGTTTATGGATGGATAACTTAGAATATATTCTAACTCTGTTGAGGAGAGATAACTCATTCACTGTTTTCATTTTATCAACAGATTTCAAATGACAATCAGTCAACCTCATGGAGCCACCAGTTGTCTGCATACAGCTCTGTATGACAGGAGAACCGTTTGCAGCAGACATACAACCTTTGAAGCCCATAATATGTCCCAAGTGCTTGCTTTCTGAATGTGTGTTCTTTCTGAAGAAAACAGGTTCTTCTTTCTGCTGCTGTTTCTTCGTTCTTTTCCCTTTGCCTACTAAAAAGCCCGAGTTTAGTACCGGCCTCCCCCCAGCAGGACCTGAATTCAATCCGTAGATATTATTCTCTGAAGGATAAACAGATGAATGCATAACAGAAAAGGAATGACTTCGCAGAAGATTGTTAGAATTCATATGCAGAGAATCATTATGTGGTTGGACAGTCGGTGGGTGTTTGTTTTCAAAAACAAGTACAATCCTCTCCAGGATCGTAAATAGTGATCTCGCCAACAACCGGACAACATAATCATAACTTCTATTCCATGGAGACATGTCTCTGAGATTTCTCACTTCCTGCCGCTGCAACATAACCTTCTTCTGAAACTCAAGCAATTTCACACGATGCAATTCCGGATTTGCCTGCATTCTTCTGAAAGTCTGTTCTCTCTCAGCTAGTACCTCAAGCTCTTGTGACAGTAGTGACATAGCAGCAACAAATCTATCCATTTTCTTCACCTTCCTCTCCATCTTTTTCCACCTATACTCCCATCCAGACCATTGAAAATAATGTTGAGCTGGGTTATGAACAAAATGTTCAAAACGATGATAAACCGGATCCACGCATTTCTTACCCAACCTAGCCACCGAGCGTGCAAGAGATTGAAAGTTATGAAGCATCTCATTCATCGCAAGTTCCATCAAGTAATCATCATTGTCAGACACCAGCATTTTTACTCCAATTGAATTCATTATCCCTTCCCTCAGACTCAATACCTCCCTATCACTCAAAGACTGCCATAAATTAACCACCTTCAACATCAACACTGAGACTTCTAATGCCAAAATTCCCACCACAACCTTGTTATCCGATGATGTACTCTTCCGAGAGACTGGCCACAAAGAACTGAACCATGACCCGTTCACCGTTTCACCCCCCATCGACACTCAATTCCCCAATCCAATGAACTCACCTAATCAACAATCCTAAAGCACACATAATCAGTATCCTGTACACCATCAAATCCATTAACTCAAATTAGAAATCTAAAACATACCGGATCAAGAACGAACCACATATAGCAAAGTCCAAATCATGGATTAAGACAGTAATATTTCCATAATAAAGAAGAACAAAAACAAAAGGTAAAAAAACCCTAACCCCCAATTGTCGTCTTGGTCATGAATAAGCCAAAACCAAGAGGTCAATATAGACTAATTCAAACTCACATGGGGGAATACACGAGCCTCCAAGGGCCCAAAACCCACTATTCAAAATTCAAAATTTTTGTCCCTTTTCTTGTCACTAACAGTCACCTAGTAAGACGTGAAAAACAACAGAATAGGGAGAGAAAAGAAATCATCAACATACCGTGGTGTGACATTGAGTTGAAAGAGAGGAAATTGAAAAGAATAGAAAGAGGGAAGATGCATAGAGGCATCCAAGATTTACAAAGGGGAACGGTAACGGAAAAGAGAGTGATGTTGGAACAAAATAAAGAGGAGAAAGAGAAAGGGAAAGAGAAAGAGAATTCGGTCAAAACGAGGTGTGTGGCGTTTTCGTAGAACGTGGAAATTAGGTTGACAGTTGAGGGACTTGATTGGATTTGGTAATTGCTCCAACGTTTGAGTGTGTCTCACGCTGGATGCGGATAAACCACTGTTGCTGTTTTCTTTACCCTTTTAGCTTTGTTCAACCTTCGGGTTTAGATTTAGTTTGATTTGGTTCGGTATGGATGAATTTTATAAAATAAAATGTAGTAGGTTTCAACAAATTCATGTTAAAAAAAGTAGTTTATGTTTAATAATGTTATGGAACACATATAATGACTTATAAATCTTGAAATTTTGATAAGTGTGGAGGAACTAAATGATATCTATAATAATTGATGATTATTTGTAGTTTCAAGCAAATGTATTGCCAAAAACATCCTCCGAAGCTTTTACTTTCTCGTTCAATCTTAAATTTTACGTAACTTTAAAGTTCATTCATTATTTAATGAGAAAATAATACATGCTTTACTTATATGTAAAGGGTTCTTTTGTTGTCATTTAATTTCAGTTTATCTCATGAGATAACTTTTTTAATTTCATATTGACCAACTTAAAATAACATTTTATGATTAACCAGCTTGTTGAGGGCGTTTTGTCTTGATTTCTTTAACTTCTCCGTCGTCTCACTCCAAAGTCACAGTTGGAGTTGGAGAATTTAAAGGAGTGTGTGTTGTAACTTAACAAACTTTTGAATTTTAATAATGTCTTGTTTTTTCTCCTTTTGAAAATTCACAAGGCTTTCGATTCAAGTATTCTTTGGTCAACATATTGAAATTGTAAAAGGGTAGGAATTACTCTCTTGTTTTGAGACTATTGATTAAATATTAACTAACAATATCTGTATGCACAAGGAAGAGTGAAACAACAATGTTTATTGAGAAATACTATGAAATAATAGCACGATCGAGTTTTGACAGTAAGATTTGGTACTGGCAAAAGTTACAAGAAGTGACTGATACTTTCAAAGATATATAGTTTCAGTTTTACGACCAAACCAAACAACTTGGTCAAGAAAAATGTGTTTGGAGTTCAAACCTAACAACCAAACCAAAGTGAATAATGGTGGAATGTATTTTCACTCTTAAAAAATTTCATACTATATATAAAAGGTGCATGTGAATAGAAACACCCACTTCAAAAAGACAGATTACCACCATATAATTGACAATGAAAAGTGATGTTTCAAATTTATTAAAAGATCTTTTAATACATTTGAGACTTTATGGTAGCTGTAAACAAGAGAATTGAACAACGTAATGTGTATCAATGCTTTTCATTTGACTTAAATATTTTTTTTTTCATCCTTATTTTCGTTGATTTTATGTCGTGTAAAACTATTTTTTTAGTGTTTAACATAATTTTTAATTTAAGTTCAATTTAATTCTAAATCGTTAGTTGCAGATGATAGAAGTTGACAATATTTAATCTTTAGTGATTATAAAAATTATCGTTATAATATTTAATTATTCTTTAAAAAGAGTCTTTCACCTTTTAATTTTTTGTTTTGTAAATTTAAAATAATTAATGATTTTTTTCAGTTTAATTTGTATTTTAATGTTAATTTTTTTAATAGATGAATGTGATAATTATAACTTCTTTTTATTATACTAAAAATAAAATATATTAATATTTGTTATATTATACTCACTATTTACCTTTAATAATAATATATGAGCTAAGAGTTTGTCATTACAGTAAAATTGTTCAATAGTAGAATATTAATTAATTGATTATAAAGATTAAGTTTTCAATCCAATATTTTAGTTTTAAAAAATTCATTGAAAATGATATTTACGGTTAAAACCATTCAAATATTTTGTTCACGCCAAATTAAATTAAAATTAATTTTCAATTTTAAATTAATATTTAATTTTAACTATCATTGCATTAATTTATTTTACACCATCTTTTAGTTTATAATTTTTCAATTCATTACAATAAAATTGTAAATAATTTAGTTCAGGATAATAATATTTTGATGTTTCTATAATAATGGTATAAAATTTATATTTTTATTCTATTTTTCATTAATTTTTTTTACAAATTATAACAACAATAATAATTATAAAAAAATTCTCAATTATACTCAATATTTTATAAAAATTTATTTACACTGAAATTATCTTTTATTACTTATTTCTCCCTAAAATAATTAAAATTAATCTCAATATTTTAATTAACTACATTAAATTAATTTACTTTATTATAATTTTTTATTTTAAAAATTTATCTTCCCTTTTCCTAAGAAAATTGTAAAAGAAAAATAAAAAATTATTACTATTAATTTGTTTAATTCTTCTTAAGTTGAATACGTTTTTTCTTTTGTTTTAAATCTTTATATTGCTACGTGAGATTAACTTATTATAGTATTAACTTGTTCACTGTATGTCCAATGTAGGAGAAAGTGATTTTGGTAAGGAAATTCATTGTGATAGCTTTGTTCTTTCCGTTTTTAATAAATTTGTAATTTTACTCCAGTCAACCTTTTATAATAGTTTCTTCTTCTCATCAATAAAATCCTTGCATTTTGGTGTTTATTGTGATTTTCATTCTTCCCAAAACAAAGGTCATATGAATGCTTTGGGAGAAGTTAATTCATTTCCAGTTGAAAATAATTATTTTGTTCAAAGATTTTACTTAATGGATCAATAGAATTCTTGCATTATTTATGTGTTTATGTAATTTTCATTCTTCTAAAAAGGAAAGTAGCTGTTGTTTTTTTGGAAGAAGTCAATTCACATTTAATTGAAAATAACTATTTAATTCAAGGATTTTATCTAATGAGTCTTGTTAATTCTAACTTTAAAAAACGACCACGTAAATAAAAGTTTAAAAACATTATTAACGTTAATAATTTAGATAATATCATGAAAAAAATCAAAAACCACGTTAAATATTTTAAAAAATTATATTAAATATTTTAAAAAATTATATTAAATAAAATCGATAAAAATAGAAAAAAAATATTTAAACCTTTTCATTTCCTTTTCATACTTGTTTCTTCGCACATAACAGCTTTTTAAAATCAAAGAATAGGTTAAGGAGTTTTTTTAGCTAAAAGAAGCTAAAGAACAAAACGCCAAAGAGATAACAACAATTTCAAAACAAATTAAAGATAAAAAAAATTAATAGAAGCAAATGTAAAGACTTATATTTATTTAGTTGAAAACATATGCACCAATTAAGTTAGCAACCAATCAATGTGCATGATAAAACATTCACATTAAGAAATAATACTTGTTACCCAGTTTGTATAGTAAAACACGAAATTGAAATTCGAATTAAATTATTTTAATTAATATCAAATCATCTAATTGAAGTTCTTTTAATTAAACCTTGTCTGTGGTTGGATTAAACACTAACTATTTGCCCCAGATTTCAAAATCTCTGTCTCAGAAATTACTCATTTGTAAAGCAACTACGCTTCTCCATAACGTTTCCACCACCAAAAGCAACGTTGAGATCAACGTTGAGATTTGTCTTCAGTAGCGCTCGCTTGGCTATGAAATTCGGCGCTTAAGCACTAAAATCACTAATTCTAATTAAGAAGTGTTTAATAGTAGAAAAAGAAAAAGTTGAATACAAATTAATTAATATATTTAAAAATGAGAAATAACCTTACGCAGCTTACAGAATTGACACGTGTTAACCCGGGGGTGCAGCACGTGACAGAGAGTTCTAGCAGAACCGCGGGTGCTCCGTAGTAGGAAGATATCCTCCTGAACTTCCAGCACTTTCCAGTGACCAAAAGTTTCCAACACTATAATATAAAAGCACTTCAGACATTGAAGAACATCACTGAAGAAGCAGAAGAAAGAAGAAAGATAAAACTCAAGGATGAAGCCAATTGACGATAAACAAGAGAAGGTGACTATCAGAGCGGTGAGCCGCGACGAGGAAGGAAGAAAGAGGGTTGAGAAGAGAGAGGTCAACACACACAACGCCGACACCCTAAAGTACGTCGAGAAGAAGCTCATCAACAAGGGTATCCAGCGCCAGGACCGCCACCCTGCCGACGGCATCGGCATCGGACGACCGCCTCCGAAGTCCGGCCACGGCGGCAAGTTCACTTGGGAGGGCCCCTCTGATATGGCGGAGAACGAGCTCATGGCGGCGCCCGCGGCCATCGACGAGGGGGATCCGAACTATGAAGATGGTGAAGAGAAGGGAGAGGAGGTGGCGGAGTTAGTTGTTGGAGAGGTCGAAGTGGCGAAGGTTGGTCAGGAACACGACGGAGTTGCTAGGGTTGACATTGATCCTCGCCTGAAAGTTAACTAATTAACCATCATGTGTTGTGTTTTGATGTTTTCCTTTTACATAATCTAAATTTGTCATCGTAGATCAAACTGGTAAATTGTGTTTTTTTGTTTTTCTATCCAAAATAAATCGCATACTAGTGTTTTTCCTTTTATAACACTATCTTGATTGGATTAAACTTCTATGTTTTTTTAAAACAAAATGTCTAACCAGATATTATATATAGATATATATTTCTGATAAAACAAATATCATACGTATATGTTCGGATATTTTGAAATTATTATAATAATATTTTAATTAAGACTAATGTATAGTTAAAAATGCTATTATTAAATAAAGACTTAATTAACTTGAGAATCTTTTATAGGAGTAATATGGGTATTATTTTGTCTAGTTTTTTTTATATTAATAACAAGAATTTAACGATTCTCTGTTTTTCTTTTACTTTAAAAAATTGGAAACGATATTTTTAATAATATCATATAATAAATATAACTTTAATTAAAGAAACGGTCGTTATCATTGATTCTTATTAATAACCATTTATTCTTACAAATAAATATTTTTATTTAAAACTCATTTATTCCTATTGATATAATATAAACAATTACTTTAATTAAAACTTCTTTGTATAAATAACTTTAAGTAAAAACTTCTTTTATAATAAAATTGTTATTATTCATATTTATGATAGTGATAATGATAATTTTTTATTGTTATAGGTGATAAGATGAAAATGATTTATGATTGTTGTAGGTATGAAGGTTATTAAAATCATGAGAATTTTGTTATCTAATTTGAAGTAAAAAGAATTCAATTTATTTATGATCCTATATTAATTTAAATATTATTTTATATTCAATAAATTAGC